CACCCATGCATGTAGGGCAACTTGCACACACTGTAACCTCAGCCCTGGGGATGCAGCGCCCTCTTGTGGACTCCAGGGGCACACACATGCACATATCTGTACACATATACACATAACTTAAAAATAAAAGCAAGGGGTTAGAGATGGCTCAGCAGTTAAGAGAACGTGTTGCTCTTGCAGAGGTGAACTCAGGATCAAGTCCCAACACCCACACGGTGGCTCACAACCACCTGTAACTTCAGTTACAAGGGGATCCAATGTCATCTTCTCACCTCTGTGGGAGCAGGCACACACATTGTGCATACCTATGTATGTATGCATAAAAATAAGAAAAATCTTTAAACTTCTAAAATAAATAAATAGAAACAAATCTAAAGAGCGAGCATGAGAGACAATGCGGTCTGAGAAAATTTCAAGCGGTTCCGGGCTTTGCAGGAGAAAAGTGTGCTCAACTAAGATGGGGGAGCTTTTTTCAGCCACAGAGCCAAGGTGAGAAAGGGTTTGCCTTGCAAGGCACAGCGTGGCCGCGACGGTGGGGCTCTGGCGCCACCTAGTGGACACTTGGAGTGTCTGTTCCTACAGCCTGGCTCCTGGGGTCTCCTTGCTGACGCTATCACCCACGGTCTCAGGGAGTGACCATGGCTCCTGTGAACTTGGGCTGTGTGTGTTGGTGGGCAGGAGCTCCTGGCTGCGGGCAGGTCTCTATGAGCTTCTCAAGATGCTGGAAGTTGACTGCTAGCTCGGTCTCCTGGAGTGTCCTAGGTAGGCAGTCCGCCTGGGCTCCTGGGTTTCTCTTCCAAACTTCCTGTGAGCTCTGCCTAACTGAAGTCCTTTTCGTACCGAGGCTTGGAGGAGACTGCACACAGGGCCAAGGTTCTCTTGACAAATACAACTCTGATCTTCTGTCTAAACCTATTGAAGAAACAAACATAAAACCAACAAACAACAGCAAAACAAAAACAAAAAACCCACCTGGTTAGCAACTGTTCCTGGAAGGGTTAAAAAAAGAAAAAGAAAAAAGAAGGTTCTCGATTTGGAAGGTTAAAGAAGGGCAAAGGAATTTTTAAAATTCCTTCCTTTCTCAACAATGCCTAGATTTTTAGCCCTTTCTCTTGCTGGACAATCCTACCGTGACTACCGTGACTACCGGAAACTGAATACCCCCCTTTCTCTTCTATGCAGTCCTCCCCACCTGTGTCTCCTTGGGCACCTGCTGCCAACCCCGGCTGCATTTCCACTTCTGGAGAGAGGTCCCAGCCTCCCTGCGACTGAATGTGGGATGTCTTCAGGTCCAAATCCTGGGTGTGAAAAGGGTCCTGGGTTTGTAGAAGGCTTGGCCCCACCCCTGGGGAGAGGCAAACTCTCCACAGATGTCAGGAAGGTCTCCCAGAGTCAGGGAAAGCCCTTAAAATAAGCTTCTAGGCTGGGGCTGTAGCTCGGTTGGCAGAGTGTTTACCTCACATGCACGAGGCCCTTGGTTCAATCCCCAGACATGATGGTATCCACCTGTGATCCCAACACTTGGAAAGTAGAGACAGGAAGCTTAGTGACATAGTGAGTTCCAGGCCAGTCTCGATATATGTGACTAGGGTTAATGATGAACGCCAAATCCCTAATCTTCAGAGACAGAGGCTGGAGGATTGCCATGACTTTGAGGTCAGTTTGGGATACACAGTGATACCATGTTTCAAATAAGGTGGTACCCATCTTTAATCCCAGCACTTTGGAGGCAGAGGCAAGCAGATCTCTGAGTTTGAGGCCAGCCTGATCTACAGACAGTGTTCCAGGACAGCCAGGGCTACACAGAAACCCTGTCTTGAAAAAACAAAATAAAATTAAATAAATATGAATAAATAAAAGGAGTGTGAAGAGTTGACTTTACAGCTAAGAGTCACTTGAGAAAGGGGACAACTGAAGACCCACCTCCATTAGGAGACAGGGTTTCTCTCTGTAGCTTTGGAGCCTGTCCTGGAACTAGCTCTGTAGACCAGGCTGGTCTCGAACTCACAGAGATCTGCCTGTCCTGTCTCTGCTTCCCAAGTGCTGGGAATTAAAGCCGTGCACCACCACCACCACCTGGCATGAGACATTCTCTTGATTGCTGATTGATGTGGAGGGCTCAGCCCACTGTGGGTGGTGCCATCCCTAGGCAGGGTACCTGGGATGTATAAGGAAGGTAGTGGATCAAGTTGGGGGGAGGGGAGTGGATAAACAGTGTCCTCCGTGGTCTCTGCTTCAGTTCCTACCTCTGGTTCCTGCCTTGGCTTCTCTCCATGGCAGATGGTGTATCATGGAAGCTGAGTAAACCCTTTCCTCTCCGAGTTCTGTTTGGTCATGGTGCAGAGAAGCAGCAGAGAAGCGAACCGGGACATGTCCCTATTTGTCCCTCCTATCCCTGTCACCTCTACCCTCACGGCTGTCATCTCCTGTCTAGGTTATGCTTTGATCTTCTGTCTGCTGTACCCACCTGTCCCCACTGCCACCTCTGACCCTCTCCAATTTTCCAGCAAGAACTTTGTCTGAGGTAGGGTGTCTATGGTTGGGAAGAGACACCATGGCCACAGCAACTCTTTTAAGGAAAATATTTAATTGAAGTGGCAGCTTTGTAAATGGAGTTTCTGTCCTGCCCAGTTCCGCAGCTGTTCAGTCCCAAAGAAATAAACAGAGACTTGTATTAATTATAAACTGTTTGGCCTATTAGCTCAGGCTTATTAACTAGCCCTAACAACTTAAATTGACCCATAATTCTTGTCTATGTTTAGCCATGTGGCTTGGTACCTTTTCTCAGTAAAGCATTCTCACCTTGCTTCCTTTGCGTCTGGCTGGTGACTGCATCTCTGCCTTTCCTCTTCCCAGAATTCTCCTACTCTGGTTGCCCCACCTATACTTCCTGCCTGGCTACTGGCCAATCAGCATTTTATTAAGCCAATATGAGTGACAAATCTTTACAGTGTGCAAGAGCATCATCCCACAACACAGCTTACAGTTTCAGAAGTTCAGTCCAGTATCATCATGGCAGTGGGGTGGTGTGTGGGAAGACGTGGTGCTGGCTACATCTTGAGCAGAAGGCCACAGGAAGTGGACTCGGTGTCACACTGAGGGAAACTTGAGCAAGAGACCTCAAAGCCCGCCCCCACAGTGACACACTTCCTCCAACAAGACCAACACCCACTCCAACAAAGTCACACCTCCTGATAGTGCCACTCCCTTTAGGAGTTGTTTTCTTTAAAACCACAGCAGAACAGGAATATAATTTGTTTCACAAGTGCCCACCCCCACCCCATGAGCCCCACCCCCAGCCTCTCCCTCCCTGCTCTTAGAAAAGAACAACAGGATTTGTAGCTCAGTGAGTGTTCAACCTAGCATCCAAGAGACCCTGGGGTCCAAGCCCAGCACTACAGGAAAAAAAATCACGCTACTTAAACCAGCATAGGAGCATGAAACTGTTGAGTTCAAGGCCAGCTTAGGCTGTGTGACAAGACTTCATAAAAAGAAAGAAGGAAGAGAAGAGAGGAGAGGAGAGGAGGGAGGGAGGGAGGGAGGGAAGGAAGGAGGGAGGGAGGGAGGGAGGGGAGTAACAGCAAGAGTCCTGGGTCCAAGGGCCCCTGCAGCTCCTACACCCTGTCCCTTGGTCTCTGTGCAGTCTCTCTAGCTCTGTGCTCACCAGATTCTGCCCTGCCCACAGATCCGCCACCTGACCCTTCCAAGGACTTCTGGGCCTAAGTGTGTCCCTCAAGTATCACTTCTTCAAGAAGCCCTCAACCCAGACCCCACTGCACGCATATCCCTCTGAACCAACTGTACGGCCACTCACTATAGGTGTGGCGTCCTTTGGGCTACAGCAGTTTGGTCTCCCAGCCCCAGGATCTCTGCACTCACTCTCCCCGTGCCTGCTGGGACCTCTCTCCAGATGTCGGAGCCGGCCCTTCACTTCCACATCTTTCTTCAAGCAACACTGCACCACCAACCCAACTCCAACTTGCAGCGTCTCTCCCTCTCCCAGCCCCAGATTCCCTTCCCCAGTCCCATGCTTTCTCATCCACTGGAATTGGTGTGACCGTCCGTTACTATTGATGGCCAACCTCGTGGGACCCGGATCCTCCTGAGAGAATTCTCTAGGCATGCTGTGCGGGGGTTCCTAGGCTAGCCAGGTTCATTAACTGGGGAAGAACCACCTGGAATGTGGGCACCACGGTCCCATGGCTGAGGTCCTGGACTGCGTATAAAGGAGAAGGCGAGCTGGACATCAGAGTCTGTCGTTCTCCACTTCCTGGTGCGGCTGTGGGGTTAGCCGCTGATCGCGCTTCTGCACCCTCTGGACCCTGAGGCTTCCCTTGGTGTTCTCACGGCTTAGTCACAGCATGGGGGAGGTCAGAGGACAACTTAATTGCGTTGAGTCTCCTCTTGCACGTTTAGTGTGTTCCGGGGACTAACTCAGATCTCCAGATTTGCTCGGCAAGCGCCTTTGCCGTGGAGGCTCTCCCCAGCCTCTACTTATCTTAACGTGTTATCTTCCTCTCTAACCTATCAACCCCGAGGTCAGGAAGTGTCCCCCTCTTTTCTTTATGCCTTGGGTTCTAGAATAACCCATGGCATAGCTCAGCCACCTGATGGATCTGTGGCCAGAATGAGTGTGATATTTTTGGAGACTGGATTTGTGAAGTGGGCACAATATTTAGGAAGCACATGTTTACCAATAAATGCACACATCACTATTTACTTAGAATTAAAGACACAAGAATGCGTGCGTTTCCTTTAAAATGAGGCTGGGTGCAGAGAGAACGCTCACAGGCTCGGGCATATGCTTTTATAATGCATTTACGACCAAGGAAAAGTAAACGGTCACACGTTTTCTTGGGGACGGGACCCACAAAGTCATAGTGCCTCTGTTCCTTCCTTCTGCCTATAGACCCGGATTGTCCCCAAAGGTGCGCTGGCGCAGTTGCTGCTTTAAGGATGCTCTGCGGGACCAAGCGGCAGGATGCAGCCATGACGTCACAGCCCCGCCCCGCGGGGTGATACTGCAGCTGCCGCGGCGGGGCTGGGGGCATCGGGCTGGGACGGAGCTGTACCCCGAAGAACCAGAAGCTCAGCCTGGGAAAGGGATGCCTCCCGTCTGGACGCACAGGTACCGTTTCTCCTGCTCCCTTCACCCAGCTCCGCGGCTTTGCGCCGGGAGCGTTGCTGCTTAGGCCCCAGGATGATCATAAGCCCAGGCTGGGGGCTCTGGACGGACATGGGGACCTTTGTTCTTTTTGGGTGTCTAGTGAATTAAGCTGAGAAATGGACCCTCCGGGGTGAAGCGTCCGCAGGCCTAGCGGGAGAGGCAGTCTGTGAAATTTGCCCTCAGCATCTGCTATGTTTACTGAGCTCCAGGCCTGCTCCCAGCTACCTGGGCAGGTGTCATCAGCTTCCGGGTCACCTCCTCCCTGAGGCTGAGCCCTTTGGCTGGCCAGGGATTGTGGTCCTGGGAAGAGCATCCTGTCGTCTTATGTCCTGAGTCATATAGCTGAGGGTGACATGCTAAGGGCGACAAGCATTCCCTTGATGCCCTCGTGGATAGTAAACAATCTCTCCCCGCTCCTGGAGTTGTTCTTATGGGAAGTAGGGTCAGGTGCTGATGAAACTCAAGCTCCTAGCCCGGACTTTGGGGACAAGTTGGCCCTCAGAAAGGAGTCAAAGTCCCAGAGGTGAAGCGTGAGAACTGGGCCCCGGTTCTCTAGTTTGCTGACTGCATCCCTCTAAGGTCTACAGCAGTTTGAGAGACTATAGGAGGCAAGAGGGAAGTGGTACCCAACAACCCCACAGGTGGAAGCACCCATCTCTCTCTCACACACACACCTACACACACCTACACACATACACATACACACACCTACACACATACACACATACAAACACACACATACACACACACACACATACTTTTTTACAGAGAAAGAAAAAGTGGATGGGTTCCAAGTAAGATACTTTTAAGTACTCAGGCTACCTGGGTGTTACTTATGTTATCAATCAGGTGTTGTTGAAACAGCCCAACACTGTTGGGGGTGGTTCAGTGGGTAAAGAAATTGCTGCCCAAGCTTGAGGGCCTGAATTGGAATCCCCTGCTCCCATTTAAAGCCACAAGGTGTGGTATTCTGTACCTACAGTCCCGGCACCCCTAGGGTGATATGGGAAGTGAAGATAGGGAATCCGGAGAAGCTCATGGGTGGGGTAGCCTGGTGTACCCCGATATAAGCCAGAGATCCTGTCTCTAAACTTGGTGGAAGATGAGGACCTTCACCCATGAAGTTATCTCACCTGCTGCAGGAAAAGTAATTTAAAAAATTCTTCTTAGCCGGGCGATGGTGGCGCACGCCTTTAATCCCAGCACTCGGGAGGCAGAGGCAGGCGGATCTCTGTGAGTTCGAAACCAGCCTGGTCTACAGAGCTAGTGCCAGGACAGGCTCCAAAGCCACAGAGAAACCCTGTCTCGAAAAACCAAAATAATAATAATAATAATAATAATAATAATAATAATAATAATAATAATAATTCTTAGTGGAAATGAGATCATTTTTTATTTTTAACTTTTATTTCCGGGTGTGTATGTGTGTGTAAGAGAGAGAGTGAATGTGTGTAAGAGAATGTGTATGTGTGTAAGAGAGAGAATGAGTGTTGTATAAGAGAGAAAGTGTGTGTGTAAGAGAGTGAGTGTGTAAGAGAAAGTGTGTAAGAGAGTGAGTGTATGTGTGTATTAGAGAGAGAGTGAGTGTGTGTGTCTGTGTGTGTGTAAGAGAGAGTGTGTGTGTGTATAAGAGAAAGAATGAGTGTGTGTGTGTGTGTGTGTGTGCCAGTGCCTGGGAAGCCAGAAGAGGGCGTCAGATCCCTTGGAGCTGTAGTCACAGGTGCCTGTGAGTCACCTGATATGGGTGCTGGGAACAAACTCGGGTCCTCTGCAAGAGCAGCCAGTGCTCTTAACCCCTGAGTCATCTCTCCAGTCCAGAAAAAAACATACATTTTTTACTAAAACAGGATAATTTTAGGATTGGCAAGCTAGATGAATAGGTAGAAACAAATGCTTCCAAGTCTGATGACCTGAGCTCCTTCTCAGGGGCGCAGATGGTGGAAGGAGAGAAGCGGCTCCTGCCAGGTGTCTCTGCCTTCTACATGTGCGCGCGCACGCACACACACACACACACACACACGTGCGCACACACACACGCACACACACACGTGCACACACACACAGATGGTGGAAGGAGAGAAGCGGCTCCTGCCAGGTGTCCTCTGCCTTCTACATGTGCGCGTGCGCACACACACACACACACACGCACACACACACACACACAGAGCTATTAAAAATTTTAAAAAGGTTCTTCTGACCTGACTCCAATGCCAACAGGAAGCTAGATGAGTGAAATGTTCTTCAAACTTGGGGTTAGCGCTGGTTCATGTGTCAGACCAGTGGTTCTCAACCTGTGGGTCTCAACCTCCTTGGGGTCACCTAAGACCATGAGAAAACACATATTTACAGGGTTTTTTTTAAAGTTCATTTTCTATTATTTATTTATTTATTTGTGCATTTTTATGTCTGAGGGCTCTGTCTTCATACACGCCAGAACAAGGACTCTGATCCCATTACAGATGGTTGTGAGCCACCATGTGGTTGCTTGGAATTGAACTCAGGACCTCTGGAAGAGCAGCCAGTGATCTTAACCTCTGAGCCATCTCTCCAGCCTTTTTTTTTTTTTTTTTGATTTTTGAATTTTGTATTTTTGAGACAAGGTTTCTCTGTGTAGCCCTGACTGTCCTGGAACTCTCTCTATAGAACAGGCTGGCCTCAAACTGAGGTCCACCTGCCTCTGCCTTCAAAGTGCTGGGATTAAAGGCATGTGTCACCACCACCTGGTTTACATTACAATTGCTAACAGTAGTAAAATTACAGTTTTGAAATAGCAATGAAAATAATTTAATGTTTGGGGGGGGTCACCACAATATGAGGAACTGTATTAAGGGTCTTTCTCAGTGTTAGGAAGGTTGAGGCCCACTGGGGGGCAAGTGTCTTTTTCTAGGACAGGCTGTAGGCCCCGTTTGAGGGCGTGCTGGGGGATGACGGTGGGCTTCCACTCCAATAGAGGAATGGCCCATCCGTGTAGTCTGACTTAAGCAGGGTCTGGAAGTTTCCCCCACTGCTATTGCAGGATTGTCCAGACGGGAACCACAGCCCTCCATTCTAAGTCAGAGGGACAGGCTTTTTGTTTGTTTGTAGATTCTTTGTTGTTTCATTGTTGATGTTTGAGACAGGATCTCACTAGTGTAGCTCTGACTGTCCTGGAACTCAAAATGTAGACCAGGCTGGCCTTGAAATCTCAGAGACCTTCCTGCCTCTGCCTTCCAAATGCTGGATTAAAGATGTGTACCACTAAAGGGGGCCCTTCCTTCCTTCCTTCCTTCCTTCCTTCCTTCCTTCCTTTCTTTCTTTCTTTCTTTCTTTCTTTCTTTCGACAAAGTTTCTCTGTGTGGTCCTGCTGTCTTGGAACTCACTCTGTAGACCAGGCTGGCCTCAAACTCACAGAGATCCACCTGCCTCTGCCTGCCAAGAGCTAGGATTAAAGGCGTGCGCCCCCATGCCTTTCTAACTTGGTGTGGTATTTATGTGCACTTTATTCTGGGGAGAACATGGATAACAAAGAGGGCATAAGATACTGTGTCTTGCCAGGTGTCAGTGATGCACACCTTTAATCCCAGCACTCGGGAGGCAGAGGCAGGCGGATCTCTGTGAGTTTGAGGCCAGCCTGGTCTACAGAGCCAGTTCCAGGATAGCCAAGGATACACAGTGAAACTCTGTTTCAAAAAACAAAAAACAAACAAACAAACAAAAGATACTGTGTTATCTCTGAAATGGGGAGGTACTGAGCACAGGAATGGGTTCCTTAAAGGGGAATATGTGCTGTGGCCAGCGGGTAGAGGTGGACCAAGCTCTTACAGCACACTCTTGTCAAAGATGCTGGCTTTGAGGGTACTGGGCTTCCAAAGTGTGAAGCTCCAGGGGTCACTAGCACCTACCTGTACCCTGGAAGGAGAACTGGTCACGTGACAGGTCTCACTTTGTAGAAGCTCCTGAGCTAGAGGAAGGAAGTACACACAAGCTTAAACTTTTTGAAACGATTAATCTTGCCAGGCAGTGGTGGCGCACCTTTAATCCCAGCATTTGGGAGGCAGAGGCAGGAGGATCTCTGTGAGTTCAAGGCCAGCCTGGTCTACAAGAGCTAGCTCCAGGACAGGCACCAAAGCTACAGAGAAACTCTGTCTCGAAAAAAAACAAATTAAAAAAAATCTCTAACAAAAAAAATTAATTGCATTTATTTATTTGATGAAACAGTGTGCAGGTGCAGGCCGGAGGACAGCTTGCAAGAGTTGGCCCTCTCCCATCATGTGGGTCTTAGGGCAGTGCCTTGACCCACTGAGCCATCACGCTACCCCTAAAACCTTAATTTTGATTTAATCTTTGTAAGTAAACTATATTTTACATGAACTATTACTTGTCTACATAGTTCTCAGGCCCACCTGTCTGCATTTCACATGGCGGGGTTTTTAAGGTCACAGATAAGCCAGTTATTGAAGTCACAGAGGATGTTACCTCGTGTCAAATCCACCTCTGAGCCGAAGCTTCGAAGGCCTTTGCCACCAGCGAATGTTTTGTTAGTGGCTCCATCTCTGTCCACACCCTCACTGGGGCCAGCAGTTAGTTCCATGTCACTCGCATGGAACCGTTTTCCTTCATTTTCTAACCTAACTTGATGGCAAAAACGATGTCATGACTGTGTCTCAGAGAGCTCTGTGTCTTGGTTCTCAGAAGTCGGTCACATGGGGGATGAACTGGGATGTCCGGAAGGGTGGGTGGGTAGGTGGATCGATGAGAATATGAGTGAGTACAGTTGGAATGTGAGTGAATGGATAGTTGGCTGGACAGATGGATGGATAGTGGATGGGGGTGGATGGGTGGATGGATGGATGGATGGATGGATGGATGGATGGATGGATGGGTGGATAGATGGATGGGTGGGTGGATGGATGGGTGGGTGGATGGGTGG